ATCACTTTGACACTGCATTTTCTTTATACATTATTATATATTTATTTTTTCTTAAATTTTAATGTCTGTTTAGAATATTGCAGTCTTTGCAATATCACATTAAGTTTGCATTATATATATTCACAATGCTCTTACAACATATTATTAAAATTTGCCTCTTTCAGAATTAGCACGATCTCCCACTGGAATTAGTGTAGGATACATTAATATTGGGGTACTGTAGAATATGTGGTGGAACGGAATCCCCATATATGAAATTTGAAACTGTATTTTTATTTCTACGCTATGCCCTAATCTGTATTTATATACGTAATTGCGGCAGCATATAGCTTTTAAAGAAGCAATTATTTCACCCATCATGTGTGGTTGACTGTGGACTTTTTAAAACCTATTTTATTTAATTTTTTTTATATATAAATCCATTTCTGGCTCTGAGAGAGCAGGCTGCTGAATGCATGTAAATGCTCTTAAAGGGAGTCTTCAGTGCCAGGAAAACAATCAATTTTCCTGGCACTGCAGGTCCCCTCCCCCTACCACCTCCCAATCCTCGGTTGCTGAAGGGGTGAAAAACCCTTCAGTCCCTTACCTGAGACCCCTGCCGATGTCCCTCGGTTTCTGCTCGCTGCCGCTCCTCCTCTTCCTTACGTCATATATAAATAAGTGGTCTGGGTTCCTGGAGTGTCCCTGTAAGCCATAATGCAATTTTCTTTGCATTCCTGGAATTAGACTTCAAAATCTGTTAGTAATATAACAGCAAGTCTTTCATCCTCTGTCTTATCACTTTTCTTTTGACAACATTTTGCATTAATCTTTTTTCCTGCGCATGCATACTAAGCAGCTACAAAGAGAACATATACCCCTGCCTACAGCCCACTGTCCTGGAACTAATGAACCATGCTGTGCTGGTGTATTAGGCATATTAAGGAGTTTACCAAATATTTATATTTGTTCTCTTACGATATTAATTAATTTCAGCATTGTATGCTAATTACAATGTACCTGGAACCTGAACTTAAAGTGCCTTGTACAAGTTCACATTAAAATCATCTCTTCATGATGAAAATCTCTCCCTGAGTCTGGGCTACAAATAGCTCATTAGATTCTTGATATTTCAAGACTTGTGCCATGACAAAGTATTGTGTCTTCTCTTACATATAAGAGGTTACCTAGGTATTTATTATTGTATTGTTAAAGCTTCTAAGTACAAGCCCCATGTTGGGTGCCAATTGTAACCAATTGTATAACGTCTTAAAGCATAGAACTTAGCAGGGCTAACCATACAGATATCTTAGCCATAATTTTATATAGTGTAAGAGATCCTCTATTTAACATATATAAATAATTGAGAATACAATATAAAATAAGGATTGTCTTGGAAGCAATAAAGTTTTGTCTTTTAGATATTTATTAAATAAAAATATAATTATAGACATATAAAATCCATTACAATAATTTATAACAGAGTTTATAAGACTAAACTAAATTCTTGCAAATATCATTAATAGGTTAACATACCCTTCTGAACAGGTCATCATGTCAGCCTCTCTGTCATTTTAAGATGGAGCAGAGTCTGTCTCCAAGTCTCTCCTCTGTGTCTAAACATTTAAAAGTACACATATTTATACCTTAGGTGTCTCCATTTTAGGGTCACTGTAGTTCATATATGAAAAAGTAACACTTCTTTTACTTTATTCATTTTAGGACCTCCCTTAACTTGGCAAACATACAAAGCCATCATTAAAGGGTGCATACGTCATGGAAATTTTCCTGACTTAGTTTAAGATGGCATCTTAAGTCTGAATAGCTTATCTGTTGTTTATACTAAGACGTAAGTGCACAGTCGTGGGAGATTTCCGGATTTGGAGAAGTTCCATTAACTTGGGGTTACCACAGTATATTGTGTACTGAAAGAGTCGTAGTAGCTTGAAGCTTGTTTATGCATTATTGTTATTGTAATTCATCTGGGACAAAATGGCGCAAACATATTATGCACTGAGGTTATTGCTTAAAGAAACATCTATGAAAAACAATATGTTCCATTTCTAACACCTTGTCAATTTGCAATATCTCTTAAAGACAAAGTACACAGTTTAAGAAATACAAAATTTCATTCTAAAACTTGTAATATTTGCATTTGCCCATAACAGGTGACCCACTGTCGGTGGTGTACCCGATTGTCCCCCTCTGCTTGTGCCGGGTTCACCTCGTGTAGCACTGCCCACTGTTCTGGATCGGTGTTGTTGTTTTCTGGAGCTTCATGTTGATAATAATGTGCGGCCGCCCTCGGTGGTGGTGCTGTTGGCCGGTCCCAGTTGCCTCTGCTCCGCTGTGGGCAATGTATTTTGTAATGTCCCGGCTGGTTACATTAGTGACCTACCAGTGGTGGTCTCCGGTTGTTGTTGGGCTGTGAAGCTGGTGTGTAAGGGTTAGGCCTGGGAGTAGTCACAGGCCCTGGCGTTGTAGTGCTGGTCTTCACCAAATTTGACCCCCACTAGGATCTTCTTTTCTCCCCTCAAGGTACTCATCCGCTAACTTGGCCACTTCCTCGACAGTGGTTGGCTTCCTATCTCGGACCCAGTCTCTGGTGTCTGCAGGTGAATGGTCAAAGAACTGTTCTAGCAAGAGGAGTTGCATAACCTCCTCTAGCGTAGTGGCTTGGCAGCCTTGTATCCAGTCTCGGCTCCCCTTCCGTAACGCCCGAAACTTTTTCCTGTAGGTCTCTGGGGTCACAGCATACCTGGCTAACAGAATGTCTTTTACCCTGGCGTAGTCGTGTATGTCTGCGGCAGGAACTGCTCGGTACGCCTCTGCTGCTCAGCCCGTGGGCTTGCTGCTTAGGATCGCAGCCCATTGCTCTGGTTCCAGACCCTCCAAAGCGCACTGACGCTCAAAATCCTGTAGATATGCGTCAATCTCCATCTCTCCATCGGAAAAAACTTTAAATGCAGCATAGTTAATTTTTCTCCGCTGCCCTCCATTTCTAGTTCCAGACAACAAAGCGGTGTCTCCTTGGCTTAGGCTTGCCTGTTGGGCTCTGCGTTCTGCGCCTACCTGAGCCAGGACTTGCGACACCATCTCTGGTGTGGGGTTTAGACCAAATAGGTTTAGCCTCCACGTCATCTTCTGCTGGAACTCTGCTTCCTCCCGGCTGAAATTCGCCACTCTGCTGGTTTGGTCATGCTCCATCAGTTCTGCTATGAGGGTAGCTCTCTCTTTGTTGCTTGCCACCTGACCTCTGGCTTCCAGCAGATCCTTTAGCGTAGTCCTTTTTAGTTTCTCGTACTGCTGGGCCATTCACCAGTTGTCTTTAGGCGTCCCATTTAATCCTGTCGCTTGCCACCAGTTGTTAAGAACCTCCGTGGTTATGGTACTGAGTTCTCCTGTTCTTTTCCCAATAGCTGAGCATAAGTGATTATAGCTGCATTTAGGGTGTAGAGGAATAGTATAGATGAATGCAGCTTCCAAGACGATTCTCCCCAGCAAATAAAAGGTTACTCAAGCATGAGCCTAGACTTCATGAAGGGTACAACAGGAATAATTTTTTATTGATGCCACACTGGCTTTTATGGAAATTCTCCTGCAAGAGGACCTCCCACAATAAACAAAAGGAACAACCAGATTTACAGTAAAACCCTCCCTTCCTTTGCCTGGGAGATAATGAGATAAGTTAAAGGATAACCCAATTATCTCCAGGCAAAAGGCACACAATTTTCCCAAAACTTGAAACACCCCTTTATACACAAGGTATCCCCACAAATGACCTTTTGACCTATATACAACGTCCATAGTCGGGCACCCCGATCATACCGCCCCTGGGCCACCTGGAGGTTGTCTGAACTGTCCGAGCCAACTGCTCCATGCGATCCCAAAACCTCAGGACGTATGACAGGATGGGGGTCCCTTCACGCTCCATCTCCCCCTCAGTGCTCCCTGATGAGATCAAGGGGACCTCACACCTTTCTCCCATATAAGAGCTCAAAGGGGGAAAACCCAGTTGATTCCTGCGGCACCTGCCTATAGGCAAATAGGAGGTGCGGTAGGAATTGCTCCCAGTCTCTGTACTCGCTGGTGTAAGTCTTTAGCATTTGCTCACAGAGACCATTAGTCTGGGGATGGTAGGGGGAGCTAAGTATTGATTTGATACTGCAGACCTTCCACAACTGTTAGTTTAGTTCTGCAGTGAACTGTGTGCCTCGGACCGAGAGGATTTCCTTGGGAAACCCAACTCGGGAGAAAACCTGTTCCAGAGCGTTAGCTACAGTGTCTCCCGGATATTTGACAGTGCCACTGCCTCTGGATAGTGAGTCCACCACGATAAGTATTAACTTCTTACTGGATAGACTAGGATTGGCGAGGAGTCCCACTATGTCAATGGTGATAATGCTGAAGGGTTCTTCAATAATAGGCAGGGTCATGAAGTGGGCCTTGGGGTGATCCCCTCGTTTTCCCCACTCGCTGGCACACATTGCAATTTCCACAGTACTCTCGTACATCAGCGTGTACCCCAGGCCAGAAGAAGGCCTGTGTTATCCGCTTCAGTGTACGGGTAGTTCCTAAGTGACCGGCCAAAGGAATGTCATGCCCAATCCTAAGAATTTCCCTTCTATATTTATGGGGTACTACTAGCTGGTGTTTTTGGTAAGGATTCTGCCCTTTCTTTTCTGTGACTCGGTTTAGTTTATCTGAGTCCCACCTAAAAATTTTCCAATACCCCAGCCCCAATCTCTGCCTTTTCCCGGTATTTGAATAGGGAGGGATCCTCTCTAGTGGCTTTTCCAAACTCCTCTGGAGTGTCCCAAGCTAACGCAGTCTAGGGGTTAGTCTCAGTCAGGGGTTGCCTTACCTGGGCCTCCCGGGTTGGTGAGCTGGTCCTTTCGTTCTTCGCTTGTGCCCTGGTTGTCACGGGGTGAGCAGCTGCAGTAGAGGTGGGTACGTAAGCTGATGTAAGAGGGCCCAAGTCGTTGCCCAGATGGACTTCTGCTGGTAAACCATCCATTATCCTGACTTTCACTGTACCGGATCCGGCTCCCAAGTCTAAGTGGACGCGGGCAGTAGGCAAACGAAATACGGATCCACCAGCCACTCGAACAGCCACGGTTTGGCCGGTATGTTTATGAGCAGGAACCAAGTGTTTCTGTACCAGTGTGATCGTGGCCCCAGTGTCCGTAACCCTTGGGCGATCTGTCCATCGACCTTGACCTCCTCTCGATGCTGCTGTCTGTTATCCTCGGAGTCTGCATTGATAGCGTTGACCTCATACTGTACCCCCATATATTCATCGGGGTGAGTCTCGGTGTCTACGCAGTGGGCGGCCGGAGTACGGGAGGTCGCAGGAGCTGGCACCGGCGGGGAGATCTGTTGACTCATAGGGCAAGTGGCCATCAGGTGTCCTGTATTGTGGTATCAGTGACACTTCACCCTCGAATTCTTTGACCCATGTCTGGGGGGACCAGTATAACGAGTGGGGCCCTGAACTCTGGTCGGGGAGACGGCCTGTGTACAAGGGGGGCCCGAGGCTCCACTCGGGGTTGAGGCTTCTAAGGCTAAGGCTTTCCCGGATAGCTTGCCAGCTAGTATGGTGACCCATTCCTCTGTGGGCACCTGGTCGCCATCAATCTCCCCTTCCGCTTCCAGGAACACTCTAAATGCTGCAAAGGGTACTTTTCGCTTCTCTGGGAGGGCAGGAGCAGGTGCGACTGTGGGTGGCTCTGCAAGACGTCGAACGGTCACCATACTCAGCTCGTATTCCCTCCTCTGCTGGACTTCTGCCTTTACTTCAGCAAAGGTCCACTTGATCCAGTCCTCGGACGTGTTTGCCCCTGCCTTTCTTGGACAATCCTGTTAATTTCGTCCCCAGTGGGCATAGAGGGTTCTGCCATGGTGGAGTTACGATCCAGTCGCTGTAGCTCCGCAATCAGCTCTCTTTTAGGATGGCTGCTTGCAATTCCTCCACGGCTTTCCAGTAGGTCCTGGAGAGTTCTCCTTTTTAGTTGCTCATATCGGTTCTCCATCCAATCTGCACGTCTCCTGGGATAAAAGTACCATCCCACCGCTGCCACCAAATGTGACGGTTACCCATATGGAGTAGGGTATATACCGTCTGGGCATCCGCCTTCCCAGTACTGGAGACCATGGCAGAGCTCCAACTCAAGGTCCTGTAGAGTGGGTAGAGCGGGGCACCCTTCTCCAGGAGGGTGAAGCTGGGGCTCTCCTTCCACAAGGTGTAGCAGGGTAGCTGGAGAGAGCTCTTAAGAGAGCTAGAGGTGATTTAGCTGGCAAGCAGGCTAATCCATAAGCCAGCGGAACAGGGCACTTCAGCACAAGGAAAGCCAGTGGCAAATGGCAGTTGGTCACACCGGTTTTAAAATTACAGATTCTTTCCCAGCAGAGTTAAAGGAACACTTTTGTCACCTAAATTACTTTAGCTAAATAAAGCAGTTTTAGTGTATAGATCATTCCCCTGCAATTTCACTGCTCAATTCTCTGTCATTTAGGAGTTAAATCACTTTGTTTCTGTTTATGCAGCCCTAGCCACACCTCCCCTGGCTATGATTGACAGAGCCTGCATGAAAAAAACTGGTTTCACTTTCAAACAGATGTAATTTACCTTAAATAATTGTATCCCAATCTCTAAATTGAACTTTAATCACATACAGGAGGCTCTTGCAGGGTCTAGCAAGCTATTAACATAGCAGGGGATAAGAAAAGCTTAATTAAACAGGACTTGTAATAAAGAAAGCCTAAATAGGGCTCTCTTTACAGGAAGTGTTTATGGAAGGCTGTGCAAGTCACATGCAGGGAGGTGTGACCAGGGTTCATAAACAAAGGGATTTAACTCCTAAATGGCAGAGGATTGAGCAGTGAGGCTGCAGGGGCATGTTCTATACATCAAAACTGCTTCATTAAGCTAAAGTTGTTCAGGTGACTATAGTGTCCCTTTAAGCACTTAAGGACCAAACTTCGGGAATAAAAGGGAATCATGACATGTCACACATGTCATGTGTCCTTAAGGGGTTAAAGGGCCAGACATAGTTTTTAACACCCAAGATGCAGAAATTGAGTTTTTAACAGGTAATGCACTCCAGGGGCCATAGTCCCAGGGTAACCAGAGAAAGGGAGCGTGTTCTTGGTTGGAATACAATGCTAGTACCGTGATCCACACCATAACCACTGTGAGAAAAATCACCATAACTACTACAAGCAATTAGGGATTTTATTACAAGAACGTTATGCATTTTTTATTCAATTTTATTACAGCAGTAACGATGATTTGCCACTAGTGGCCTCCCTAACCACTAGAACTATCCTTCCCTCTACCTCACCTGGAGGAAGAATGATACCAACTGTTCTTCAGAACCTTCCATGCGCACACTAGCATACCCCTGGTGGAGGCCAACTATAAATTGTTAGCTCGGTGGTACATAACACCAGTAGACATCAAAAGATCCATGGCATGCAAACATACTTCAACCAGCTAGCCATGCAGGACTTTAAGAGGCAAATCAAGCAGTTAAGGGAAAACAATCTATCCTGCACATCATCAATGTTGTGAAGGTTACAAACAAGCGTATGTGTTCAATCAAGGCATAGTGTAGCGGAGCTGCAATATTAAATCCCAAGATCTCCGCTGGTATAGAAAGTAATCCAAAGTAAAGCGCTGGAAATTAAGGCAATATCCCAAATCCCCCAGTAACCGGACGAAACACAGTTCTGGGAGTCAACTGACAATTTTATTCACAGCTCCAGTATTTATGTGATTCCCCATGCAAGGGGTTTCCTTAGTCACTTTACAGGGGTATTACAGCAGAGGACTACATGGGGAACTGAATATACAGAGCATTTCTCCCACCATGCACTGCTGTACGTGAGGGATACTCCCACTAGAATATCCTGTTAAGTGGATTATCCCTCCGTACAGCAGAACCTGGTTTTAATACAAAAATCCATAACTTTAATATTATTCGTTGATTCCCTTAAATGACCGTTCGGTAGATCGCTGGGGTCTGAGCGCACACTTCGTGAAAGTACCGCTCAGATCCCAGCATAAATAACCGAACGCCGCACGAAACACACTTTATTTTACATTCTCATTAAAAGTACCGAATACACATTAGGCAACAAACTACCGAAGGACCTGTGCTCCCGAACGGCCTGGAAGTCCAGCGTTGTTCACGCCATCGAGTAGCCAATTTTAGTTCCAGGCGCTCGACGACCAAACACCGCTGGGCTTACAATGGATCCAAGATGGGCGACCGTCGCGTGGTCGGTAGCCGAACGATGGCCACCCAGGAAAGCACTTAACTACCGATTGCTACAATGTTGCAATCGGTTAATGGGAGCCACACAATCCTCTGTGTGTGGGCTCCCATTCGGTACCTTATTCGTTTCACAAACCGTGTCTAAAGTCACTATTTGTGAAACTACCATATGAATGCTATCAGCTTTCGGCCGTTAGCATACGAATACTCTTTATTGCAAACACACATGAATACATCCTTACATACAATAAAGCAGACAACCTTCCGATGTTATACAGTAAGCCTTAAAGTGGCTAAGTTTGCCACACATAGCAATGTATGTTTAGATATTATGGGTAGTTTCATGGTATATCCTATGGTATCTTGTATTAGCGCACTGTTAGCGGGAATAGATGTAGCTCGAGTTAGTGCCGATTCCCGTGGTTCCTCCAGTCGCACATATAAGGAGTTAATATGCCAGTGTCTAGTGTCTGTCATAATGGTGGGAGAAACCGCAGTACTAGGTGGTGGTTCGTTGGGTACGTTTGTACGAGGCCTGACACTCTCTCTCTCACTTCTTCTGTCACTAACATGCTTACACTGGCTCTTTGTCTGTCCTAGATATTCATTCTCTCATTCTCCGTCATGCCTTGTTGTATCTATCTCTCTTGTTCTCACTCTCCCTATCACACTCTCTCTCCCACATATTCAGTCACACACTCACTCACTGTCTCTCTCTCCCACACATTCATTCAAATGCTTAATGTCGCTCTCTCCCACACATTCATTAAAACTCCCAGTCTCTCTCCCACACATTCAAACACTCACTGTCTCTCTCTCTCCCACACATTCAAACACTCACTCACTGTCTCTCTCTCTCCCACACATTCACTGACTGAGTGTCACTATACACTCTCTTTGTCTTTTACATTGTGCTTTTATTTAAACACATTTTAAAACCAAATGTGGCAAAACAAACATAAATTTATAAAATAAAAACCAATGGAATAATACAAGTGAGGCACAATAAAACAATATACTTGACAAGAAATCATAAGAAATTAACTGTGTAGCAAGCACCCCCCCCAAGTCTAGAAATCCAGAAACACAAGCAGATAGAATTATTTGTGCTGGTACCAAGGTGCGATCCAGGTTTAATGAAGGACAGTCTTAGTGCAGCAAACGTTTTGTGCCCTTTATTATTCAGGTCTTCTGACACAATGCATTGATAAAGGGTAAAAGCCCCAAACGTTTGCTGTACTAAGACTGTCCTTCATTAAACCTGGATCGTACCTTGTTACCAGCACAAATAATTCTGGTTACGAAAAACCTCCTTTCTTCGCTTGTGTTTCTGTGAATAATACACGTAAAAGTCCAGATAAGGGTTTACCGGATGCATTTTGACAAAGGCCTTTTCAAAATAAATAAACTATATCTGTATATATTTTATAAAGTACTTTTAAGGTTCTTGCTCTAGGTTATGCAAGTAAAATATTTTATATCCATCTCTGGCAATTTCTTTTAAACTACACCATTGGATATTCCTTTTTTTATCTTTACATTTCAAGCTGATATTTTAAGAGGAGATTATAGATTCCGCTTTACTACACTACAAATCCTAAAACAGGGATTATACCATCCATATACAAAACACAGAGAGAAGGGTGCACTAAGGGATGAAACAAAAATGAGAGATCTTCGTGGGTATGACAAAATATAAGATATACTATAAAAAACTGTCCAAAATATCAGAGAAAAAAGTCCAAATAGTCAACCTTGATGGGTGATGGGATGATTATGCCATATAGGTGTGGGTGGTATAATCCCCACCAAGGATGCGTGGTGAGATCCTTTTTTGGAAATGATGGATCAGGATGCCAGGTAAAAAAAGGAAGGAAGAAAAAAAGGTCTGGTATAAAAGAGTATAAAGAGTAACCAACAACCTTTTATTATAACAAAATAAAATCAATCCACAACGCGTTTCACCCGGTGGGCTTTTTCAAGTGGTTAAAAAAACACTTGATTGATTTTATTTTGTTATAATAAAAGGTTGTTGGTTACTATTTTAATACTCTATTGTACCTGAACCTATTTTTCTTCCTTCCTTTTTTTTACCTGGCATCCTGATCCATCATTTCCAAAAAAGGACCTCACCACGCATCCTTGGTGGGGATTATACCATCCACGCCTATATAACCGAGCGGGTTGTCTGCTCAGTTAAATGTGAGTATAACCTTTTGGTTTTTATCATATATTACATATTTTATACAGTGCGCACTATTGTTGCACTATTTTTTATATATACCTGAGGTTTCTAACCTCTGTTGAATAAGACTGCTGCTGAGACCAATACCGCCCTCTGTTTTCCCATAAGTGGGGGATCAATATCACTGAAGGCAATCCATACCAGAGCTGGTCTTAGCTCTATGCCACGTGAGTAGGCACTTCTTTAGACTTACATCTATATACCAATACGTGTACCAAGACGTCCAGCACCATTGGAGTCTCTTTTTTCATATGAATTTATGAGTTTATCGGATGACATACTCACCTAAACTGATCAACATACCACGCAAGGCATAATCATCCCATAACCCATCAAGATTGACTATTTGGTCTTTTTTTTTCTCTGATATGACAGTTTTTTTTTATAGTATATCTTATTATATTTTGTCATACCCACAAAGTCCTCTAATTTTTGTTTCATCCCTTATCCTTTGGCGCACCCTTCTCTATGTGTTTTGTATATTGTCTGTTTCCTTCTTTGGGAGTCTAGGAGAGAATTTACCCATTTAGGAGTGCTGCCTGGCCCCTCCTTTTTATAACTTAGTGCTGTTCCATCTTTTGCCTTTTTGTTAATTATACCATCCATGTCTTCTACAGCAGAGCTCGTAGTAGCTATATATATATATAGTTCTCCCTTGACACTTCAATTATATATTCACTTTTGTGTGAATTATTACACAATTAGTTTTTTTAAAAATTTATTAAGTAACATCGATGTCCCAGTGTACAGCACTGCAGAATTTGTTGGTGCTTTTTAAATAATAATAATGACAAGATACACATTTATTCATATGTGTATACCATTAGTGTAACTCCGTAGATCTTTTAGGGTTAGGCACTTATTAATCTTTGGTTTGCTAGATATAGTTGCAAGGAGGTTTTTATTTTATTATAGTGAGCGCCTTTACTCTTTTCTGTTTTAGATTTATTGGTATTGTGAAATCTTTCATGAGAATTAAGGTAACATTTCTGAGAAAAACATTTCCCACATTCACAACATGCAAATGGTTTCTCTTCTGTGAATCATCACGTGTCTATCAATGTTTCTTTTATGACTGAAACATTTCCCACATTCAGAACATGAAAATGGTTTCTCTCCTGTGTGAATCCTCATGTGGCTATCACGTTTGTTTTTACGACTGAAACATTTCCCACATTCAGAACATGAAAATGGTTTCTCTCCTGTGTGAATCATGAGATGTTTATTTAAGTTGCCTTTCAGATTAAAACATTTCCCACACTCAGAGCAGGAGAAAGGTTTCTCTCCACTATGAATCCGTTTATGGGTAATAAGCCTTGATTTATGACTGAAACAATGTCCACATTCAGAACATGAATATGGTTTTTCTCCTGTGTGAATCCTGAGATGTGTATAAAAGTTGCTTTTTTGAGTGAAACATTTCCCACATTCAGAACATGAAAATGGTTTCTCTTGTGTGTGAATCATCATGTGCCTATCAATGCTGATTTTATGACTGAAAGATTTCCCACATTCAGAACAAGTCAATTTCTTCCCTTTACGGAATCTCTGATATTTCATTTGATTTAAATTTGTGGATGAAACTTTCTGACCATTAAAGTTATTGGTATTACTTTTGTATTGTTTCACAAGATCACAAGCAGAGCTATGAATGTCCAGATCACCGAGACTTCCTTCTTCACACAAGGCTGAATCCTCCGTAACAGGAGTAAATGTACATTCTGTCTGTGTAAGTTCTGTGGGTGTATAAATGTCAGTGACTGTGACGTTTCCTTCGTCACATAAGGCTGGTCCCTCCTTAATATGTGTAGATGGATAACATATATGTTCTGTATGGGAACACATGTCAGTTTGTGTGAGATTCCCTTCCTCACATAAAGCTAACTCATCCTGAATTTGTGTAGATGAATATTGTGTATGTTCTGTGAGTCTACTAATGTTAGTGTGTGTGAGATTCCCTTCTTCACACAAGGCTGGTTCCTCCTTAATATGTGTCGATAGATACTGTGTATGTTCTGCAGGTGTATAAATGTCAGTTTCTGTGAGATTCCTTTTTTTACATGAGACTGGATCCCCCTTAAGATGAGAAGATGGATATTCTGTCTGTTCTCCGTGTGTAATAATGCCAGTGTCTGTGAGATTCCCTTCGTCACATAAGGTTGGCTCCTCCTTAATAGGTGTGGGTTGATAATGTATTTGTTCTATGAGTGTATAAATGTCAGTGTTTGTGAGATTCCCTTCTTCACATGAGACTGGATCTTCTTTAATATGAGTAGATGGATATTCTGTCTGTTCTCTGGGTGTATACATGTCAGTGTCTGTAAGGTTTTCCTCTTCACAAGAGATTGGATCATCATTAATATTAGAATATAGATATTCTGCCTGTTCTGTGGCAGTATAAATTTCATTGTCTGTGAGGTTTTCCTCTTCACATGAGACTGGTTCCTCCTTAACATGAGTAAATGGATGTTCCGTGTGTAATGTGGATTTTGTTTGGGAACATTCTTTCAGTGAGTAAATCTCTCCATCTGGTAGATTTCTTTCTTCATATAAAGCTGTTTCAGATATCACAGATTCACTTGGTCTCTTACTTAGTTCATTAAATGTCACATAATGTTCTCCCTGATCATCTGTGACTCTACCTTCATTCACACAATTTACTGACAGAACATGGATGGGTAAATCATCCGTTTCACTTGTGTTTAGAGAGCCATCTGCTGGAAAGAAAAGAAATAGAATTACAAACCTTCCTTTTATCTCTCTCACATTGTGAGTACTGTAAATACACTACAAGGTAAATGATCCAGGATGTGATAGTAAAATATTGAACAATGCTGTTTCAAGGTAACTGGTACATTTATTCAGAATTAGAACCTAACTTACAGTCTATAACAGGGGTAGTCAACCATTCGACACTCCACATTTTGTGGACTACATCTCTGTAATGGACACTGGTTTATTATGGTCTGATTCATTAGATATCACTTAATACAGTTTATTATGATGAGTGCCATTTTAGAATTATACCTCTAGGGGGAGTATTGAGCAGCTTTTTGAGGACTTTCATTGTCTGTACCATGCAGCCAAGATGGATGCCGGACTCCTCCATATGAAATGGCATACAGGGATTGGGTAAGGAAAGTCACATGCTCAGTCCCTTTATAATGTCAGTATATTTATATCAGCAGATATTTTGTGTTAAGACAAATTAAAAGTGTATATTGCCAGTCACACTCAGAACCTCAGTGACACAATTTTTGTATTACAAGGCTAAGAAAGACACATTGTTTCTTTCTATCACTCTATTCATTCAAGTCTGAGCTAAGGAATGCACTAATGTAAACATTAGAGATAAAACCTGAGTTAAGGCGTGATGTCTAACAGAAAAATGAGGGGGTGGGGAGGGACAAACGTATACATAATTATATATACATATACACATTATCCACTTAACTTACTATTTTATATTAATCATATATAATCAGTATCATGATACTAATATGGACTATTCATAGATAAATATCAATGAAGAAATATCATATTATTTAATAATGTTAGTGGAATAGAAATAATTTTAAACACATTTTCACATAAGAAACCCAGACACCAATGACCGATAACACTAAGTAATTAATTTTACTTTCTAAAAAACAAAACAAAAAAAACAACAAAATCTTACGAAGTCCCATTGTAAGAAAAAGGGTGAAATTAAGGTTAGGAGGGGTCAATTCTAAAATTACGATCAAAGTTGCCGATGCTAAGTCTGGGTAAGAGAGAAACAAAGCCTTTGAAATTGGCAGAATTTAGATTTATAGTAGCCATAAAGATAGCTGGAAATGACTTAAAACTCATCACCAATTTCAGTTAATCCATTATGCAAAAATGCAAATGGACCCCATGACAAGAAATTTTGGTGATATAATTGCGCCACCTTCTGATCAAAATCTAGATGATGGTCTGTGGGGAAGACACACCTACCGTTCACTATTGGTTCTATCAATTAGTGATGTGCAGAGAGTTTGGCCCTTTAAAAAGTAAGGCGATTCAAAGATTCAAAGACTCAGACATTCAAACACTCAGCTCTTTGGGACACTCATACTCTGAATCACTCTCAAATTAACACCACTTTTATCTATCCCATACAATTCTCTATTCACCATACTTGCATTTAAATCCCTGGCACAGATCTACACATCTGATAAGGAAATCTACAACCTAGCTGGTAATTATGCTGGTTTTATTTAATTAATTTAAATTAATTACCATTTTACTAATAGCAGGAATATATATCTGGATAAATCTTGGTCAGATTTCAATAATTAGAAATCTTAGTAACCGTATATACTCGAGTATAAGCCGACCTGAATATAAGCAGAGGCACCTAATTTTACCACAAAAAAAACTGGGAAAAACTTATTGACTCGAGTAAAAGCCTATGGTGGGAAATGCAGCAGCTACTGGTAAATTTCAAAATAAAAATAGATCCCAATAAAATTACATTAATTGAGGCATCAGTAGGTTAAATGTTTTTGAATATTTATTACAGTGTGTGTATATAATGAATGCAGTGTGTGTGTGTTTGTGTAGTGTGTGTATATAATGAATGCAGAGTGTGTGTGTGTTTGTGTAGTGTGTATATATAAAGAATGCAGACTGTGTGTGTGTTTGTGTGTGTATATACAATGAATGCAGAGTGTGTGTGTGTTTGTGTAGTGTGTATATACAATGAATGCAGTGTGTGTTTGTGTAGTACGTGTATATAATGAATGCAGAATGTGTGTGTTTGTGTGAATGTAGTGTGTGTGTATCTAATGAATGCAGAATGTGTGTGTTTTTGTGAATGTAGTGTGTGTATATAATGAATGCAGAATGTGTGTGTGTAAATGTAGTGTGTGTGTATATAATGAATGCAGAATGTGTGTGTATATAATGCAGTGTGTGTTTGTGTGAATGCAGTGTGTGTATATGATGCAGAGTATGTGTTTGTTTGTGTAGCATGTGTAAACTGGGTGGGGGGAGGGCATTTTTATTATTGTAATATTTTTATTTTTAATATTTAATTTTGTAAATAATTTTTGTCCCCCCTCCCTGCTTGTTACCTGGCCAGGGAGGGGGGATATGTCAATCCCTGGTGGTCTGGTGGCATCTACTGAGCAGTGGGGGTTCGGCAGCAAGCTGTTACTTACCTTTGCAGCAGCTTCCTTCAGCTCCCTGTGTAAATCTTGTGGCAAGCATGCCGCGCGGAGCGTTGCCACGGTAAGCCGTGGCAACGCTCTGACGGCCGCAGGTCTCACAAGATTTAGACTGGGGAGCTCCTGCAAAGGTAAGTAACAGCTTGCTGCCTCCCCTCCCAGGACCGCCGGGCTTGTAATG